TCCTTCCTTCCTTCCTTCCTTCCTTCCTTCCTTCCTTCCTTCCTTCCTTCCTTTTTTCCTTCTGTCTGTCTGTCCCTTTCTTGTGTTTGTTTAGCCTCTTATTAGCTTTAAATGGTAATGCTACTCAGGTTGCTGTGATGTTCAGCAGTTACTGCTCATTTTTTTGGAGGGGACCAAAACTTTGGGGAGAGAGTTGTTCACACAGAGTGAGTGCTGAGTCAGGTCAGTTAAAGGCGTGCCCTCATAATAGACTTTTCAGCCAGCTTCCAGATAGGACAGATAGGGGCAGTTCTCTGGGCATGGGTTTTTTGAGAACTCCAGAACTATTTTTCCCCTTAGTGGCTGCTAGGCTGGTGGTTTTTTACAGCTGCCACAGTTGGAAGGCTGTTTTTTTCCGAGGAAAGCACAGAACTGGGAATAGGGGAATGGGATTACAGGAAGTAAAAATGCCACAAAACCTTTTATTCTTTCAGATATTCAGCCATTTCGTTCTTAAATAAGTACTCATTGGTTTTTTGCAAGCTTTTAGGTAATTTTCAAATAACTGAGAACTTGATTTTGACATTTATTCCAGTGGTCTTTTTCTGTTTGTAGAGGAGTAGAATTTTGGAGGTCCTTAATCTGCCATTCTAGAAATGCTTAAGTACCATTGTTCTTAATTTTTTCTTAAATAATTTTCTAATAATATGTATTACAAAGATTTCTCAATACTGCATATATTTCTAAATAACTCAAATATCTCCATGATGAACTAGCTCTCGAAATTTTATAAACTGTTTTTTTGGATTTGTTTTTTTTTTCTAATAGTACAGTATTATTTTCTTAATCCATTTGGGCTGCTATAACAAAATATCTTAGACTGTGTAGTCTATTTCTCACAGTTCTGGAGGCTGAAAGTCCTAGATCAGCCAATATGGTCAGGTGAGGGCCCTTTTCCTGGTTGCAGCCCATGTATTCTCACATGGTGGAAGGGACTAGGGAACTCTATGGGGCCTCTTTTTTATAAGAGCACTAATTCCGCTCAGGAGGGCTCTGTTCTCATGACCTAATCATGTCATCTTCTAATTCTATCACATTGGGCATTAGGATTAAACATGAGTTTTGGGGGTTCACAAACATTTAGCCTATAACAACTGGTTACTTTTCTTTTTTCTTTTTTAGGAAGTGACATGTTCATTCATGCCACATCAAGTTGGAGCCTTTACAGTGAAGCAGTACATAGACTTTATTGGCCCAGTGGCAGATAAAAATTTTCAATCTTTATTGCTGAGACCTTTTTATCACATACATTTAGTTTTCAAGGGTGCCTGCAAAATTTCCAACAAGAAAGTTGTGTTTCAAATTAATCCTGGTAAGCTATCATGGATCCTTACCTTTTTTTTTTTAATAGGTTAATATAAGATTATCTTAATATGCTAATTGTTCAGGTCTATATGTCAAATGTGGTCTGATCTAGTGGTTCTTACCTTTGAATGCCTCAAAATCACCAGAAGGTCTGGTAAAGGAGATACTGCTGGCCTATATCCCAGCATTGATTATTAAGTAGGTCATCGTTGGAGCCCAAAGATTGGCATTTCTAGCATGTTGCCAGTAGATGCTGATATTGCCATTTTGAGTGTCACACTTTTGAATATACTGGTTTAATGATCTATGAAATTTGTTGAATATTTTAATGGTTTTTCTATTTTATTCTTCTACTTTTGGTATGAGTGTATAATATAAATTGGTTTTGACCATTTCATGGATATTATTGTTGTTTTATCTAATCCTCAGTTATCTTTTATACATTGTACCATAGGAAATTGCTGATATTTAACCTGTACAAATTTGTTTCATGTGGGCCACACAATCCTTCAGTTACCATGTTTATTTTTTATGCATTCATCATTTTACTACAGTGTTTTGTTTAGGTCCATTTATTAAATGAATAATTTGTACTTTCTGAGTACAGTAGGTCCTCGGGTTACGGTGGTGGAGATCCGTTCCTACGGCGCGACGTAAATGCGATTTTCGCTGTAAGTCAGAACCCACCTACATAAGCACCTACGCCACTCACATGGAACACTACACAGCAGTAATGAAGTGAAACAGTAAAAAAAATTTAAAAGAAAGATAACAATTCCTGACCTTTACTTGTGGTAAATAAATAATAAAAAACATAAAGCACATGTGTACATACGTTGAAATGACGGAACTTTTTTTTTAATAAATAAATTGGAGATGGTGACATAACCACAAAACAACGTATTTTGAGTCCAACGTAACCCGAGGACTGCCTGTATGTTTGTTTATTTAGGGATATAGCTTTAGTTTATAACCAATGGTCTAGTAGTGTATTAACTAACTCATGGATGTCTTTTGGAAAACTGAAATAAAATATATTTAAATTTAATGTCCATTTCTATGAAAGGCATATCCCCTATCGCCACTAATCCTACGGGCCAGTTTGTGGTCAAAGATTTGACAAAATACAAGGAATGTGCTCCTGTTGCAATGCTTCAATCAGCCTTGACAACCATTCACAATCATAAGTCAAGTAAAGAGTCAGTGCAGGATGCGCTGATAGCCTTTCCCAATGACCGAACTGCAAGTATCAGGCCTGGAGACCAGGAAAAACATTTCAGGTAACATGCTATATTAAAAGCCTGAAATTTTGAAAGAGTCAATGACCAACAGGATATGCAGAAGTTTTACCATATACCGCTGTAATAAATTAATAATGGTAATCATAATAATGATGGTGTTGATGATGATAGTAATGAAATTTATCTTTTTTTTCCATTAGAGATGGTTGTTGAACGCTACTGTATTTGCTTTATCTAACCTTTTATCACCTCTACTCTGTACTTGCCAGGAAGTGAAAGGTTTGCCAGATTATTCTTAAAATATGCTGTTGACAGTTATAGAATAACTAGTGCTCCAGTGCACGGATTCGTGCACATTGAAAGGAAATTAATTAGAAGGTGGCTGGGAGGGTGGGACTGGGTGAGACAGGCCAGACACACCCTGGAGCCAACCTCCTGGGGTCTCTTCCTGACTGGCCGCGCCTGGGGCAGCACTGCGGCTTGAAGGGTGTCTGCAGAGTGAGTGGGGTCCCTCTGGCAGGTGGGGTCCCTCGGCATGGCCTGCAGGGATTGGGCTGAAACCAGCTCTCTGATATCCCTGGAGGGGTCCCGGATTGCAAGAGGGTGGTTCTCGGGTGACGCACCCCAGAATAGGGCCCCCTTGTCTCTGGTTCCGGGGTGCATCACCCGAGAACCGCTGCTGCCAAGTCACCACAGCTCGGCAGGTCCTGCATTGAGCGTCTGCCCCCTGTTGGTCACTGCACATCATAGCTACCGGTCAGAGAGTCTGCTCCCTGGTGGTCATTGTGCATCATAGCTACCAGTTGGACTGTTGGATGGTCACTTAGCCTTTTATATATATAGGTAATAGAAATAATCACCTTTGGAACTGTATGAAGGCCTCAAAGTCATTAACTTTGTCCAAAAGCTTGAATTTAAGATTAAAAAAACATTTAAAATTGTGAAAAACCAGTTATCCTCATTGTTAGTGGCAGCTTCATCATCACCATCATCAATCATCCTCATCCTCATCCTCATGATCACTATCATCATCATCTTTGTTCCATCCCCTCAAAGTCAGGTTTCCAATAACATTTTCCAAATTGAGCTAAAACTTCCCTAATTAGGATCATAAGTGATGTTAAACCTCAATTTAAATTTATCTAAACCTCAAATAAATTACTTCCTTACCAATACTTAGAAGAAACTCAGGCATCCTGACATCTTTATCTGGGCCATTAGATTAAGAATGGTTTTTTATACATTTGACACTGAAATGGGTTTCTTTTCTGCCTGCTTATATGCTACTACTAGACTATCTAAACTTGTTAACATTTTATTTCTGTCTAAATTATTATTAAGCAGATGATCTATAAATACCACAATTTTTTTTGAAGAAGGCTAAGTATTTCCTATTTATTCCATGATCATAATTATTATTTTCAATTCACTGTTTTCCATACTAATAGAAATGCAAAATTTTGTCCAGTTATTTTCTGGCTAGCAATTAGTAACTAAGTAATGAAAATTTTTAGTATATTAAATCGTTGTTAATTATTATTCCTGTTTTATTTTAGTGCACTTTTACTTTTTCAAATTTTTAGAAGAAAATAAGATAGAAATTTTTGTCTAGTTTTTGTTTACTGCAGTATGTCCTGTGCTTAGAATAGTGTCAGGCATATAGTGAGCACTCAGTAAATATTTTTTAATAAATAAATCAGTTAAAATGTTTTATTTACATTGTAATTTTTGTCCCCTGTAATTTACACATTAAAAAAAATCACCTACTCAAAGCTGCAGAGGTATATGTTGAAGTTAAGCTTTTAAGGAGCTGATAATCACTTAGATGTATTAATAGCCAGCTCTTTGTCACTTCAGGCATCTATATATATAAAATCCTAATATGCAAATGGACAGAATGGCAGAACGACCGGTGGAACTACCAGTCGCTGACGTGCAATGACCACCAGGGGGCAGACACTCAATGCAGGAGCTGCCCCCAGCCCGCAGGCCCCAACCGGTGGTGGCAGTGGTGGGGGGTGGGGCCAGCGAGTGGGTGGTACCAGGACAGCCAAGGCAGGTGCGAGCAGGGCCCCCCTCCTTCGATCTCCCCACAAGGTGTCCCACAGAGGGAAGTGACTGGTGGCAGTGGTGGGGGGTGGGGCTGGTGAGCAGGCAGCACCAGGTGAAGGCGGGTGCGAGCAGGGTCCCAATCACCCTGCCGGTCGCCCCACAGATCAGCCCTGATCGCTGGCCAGGCCTAGGGACCCTACCTGTGCACGAATTTCGTGCACTAGGCCTCTAGTTTCCTATAATAGTGTATCCCCAGTGAATAACTAGGGGCTACTGTACTCTTTTCCAAGTCCATCCTTCTTATTACAGACAGGAACTTCACAAATAGGAATTATTTCTAGGTTCTAAAGGTGGTTAAGGTTCACAGAGCTGAAAGGGAAATTTTAATATCAACTATCTTGAATAACAAAGCATTTGTTTCTCTCTTATTGCTTCACTCTCTTAATGACTTTAACTCAGAGTTAAAGCAGTCTGACTGTAAGTATTGAGGAATTGTTGAAAATAAGGAGAAATATTAGATTAAATTTCATTTGACTGTATGACTATAGTAGTTCCCCCATATGCCTGAAACCATGGATAGTACCAAGCTCTATATATGCTAGGGTTTGTCCTATACATGCATACCTATGATAAAAACACAGTAAGAAATTAACAACAATCTATCTATATAAAAAGCCAGCAACCAGAATGCTGTAATGACCGGAATGACCGGTTGTTATGATGCCCACTGCGGCCAGCAAACCAGCCCCATCTGGGGTGGGGCTGGCCAGCCAACCTCCCGTGGCCGCTCCTCCAGGCCAGCCTTTCTCCCAATTGGCCTCTCCCACCCCATCAAGGGCAGTGCAGCTGGCCAACCCCACTGCAGCCCCTCCCCTGGTGTGGCCCCGCCTCTGATTCCTCCCCCCCCCAATAAGGGATGGGGTTAGTTGACCAACCTCCTGCAGCCCCTCCCCCCAGCTGGCCCCACCCCATTTGCCCCTCTTACCCCAGTAGGGGGTGGGGCCGGCTAGTCAACCTCCTGCAACCCTTCCCCCACCTGGCCTCACCCCAGATCGGTCCCCCACCCCAATTAGGGGCGGGGCCAGCCAGTCAACCACCCACAGCCCCTTCCCCCAGCTGCTGGCCCCCGATTGGCTCCCCACACCGCATTCTGGGGCGGGGCCTGCCGGCCCACCACCCACAGCCCCTTCCCCTGGCCGGCCCCACCCCGATCAGCCCCCACCACCCTGATTGGCCTGCGTCCCCTTCCCCCAGCCAGTTCTGTCCCTGATGGGCCCCCCATCCCAACTAGGGGAGGAGCCCGCTGGCCAATCACCTGCTGCCCCTCCCCCCCAGTTCTGATTGGGCCCCGATCAGGGCCGGGCTGGCCAGACCCCACCCGTGCACAAATTCGTGCATTGGGCCTCTAGTAACTAATAATAAAATAGAGCAATGATAACAATATACTGTAATAAAACCTGTGTGAATGTGCTCCCTTGTGTTTTCTCCCTCTCTCATAACTGATATGATAACCAAGAAGGTTACAGTGTGACAGGTGGGGATCATATGCAGCATATGCAGCATGGATACACTGGATAAAGGGGTAATTCACTTCCAGGGTGTGATGGAGTGGGAAGGCTCCAGGTTTCATTGCGCTACGCAGAAGAGCCTGACATTTAAAACCTATGAATTGTCTATTTCTGGAATTTTCCATTTAATATTTTTGGACCATGGTTAACTGAAACTGTGGAAAGTGAAACCATGGATAAGGTTAGCCTTCTGTAATGGGTTCATACTTAATGAGTTAATTATTGAGGATGAGAATCTGCTTAATAAAATTTGCTGAGAATTGAGGTAGATCAAGGCCGGAAGATATGAATAATTGTACTTTTTGTTTTTTTGTGTGCAAAATATGTGGTGGGTAAAAAGGAAAAGCATGAGCCCAGTTAGTAAATATGAAATGTAACATTAATCAGATTCAGATCTGGTCCTATCTGTAATCTAGAATTCTCCAAATTGTTTACTTGACTAATTCCCCAAGAGTGGGTTCAGGGTAGCGGCCATTGAATTTTTTATGATTTGGTTAAGAAGGAAACTATAAATGTTATCATACTTCTCTGTGTAAAAATGTCTTGATATATAATAGGATATGAGGTAAAGGACTAGAGTCTGACCTATTCACCATTTTATGCCTAATCCATGGTATAGGTGCCACTCAATAAATACTGATCAAATAAATGCTTATATGAAAATATTAACATGACTTGCTCATATTGTAGGACGATTTTCACAAAGGTTCCAAGGCATAACTATGTGGATACTGAGTTTACATATACTGATTCTGAAGTACTAAAGAAGAAAGCACATGAAGACTATTATAAAAACTACATTGACTCTTTAAGGAAGGCACGCCTGCAGAAAAAAGCAGGGAAGAGGTAAAGTTCACTTCCCTAAGCAATATGAGACCCAGATTGTGATGCCTATAGACCCAGATTTTTTTTCTTTACTCCTTAGTTTCTCTTTAGTGATTCAGATGACTTTTTCATATATGAAAATAGTAAAACCTTGAACTACTTTAATTGCAATGACTTACTTTCTCACCTTTGATTTGGGAATATCTGGTATGCGTTTTCCCAGCAGCAGATCCTAAGACAAGGATGCCAGCACATGAGCTTTTCAGAGAGTGTTCTTTTAGGAGAAATGTGTACAGTGTGAGAGAGGCAGGCTAGGGCAAGGGAGGGAACTGAAGAATGGTGTGTTTCAAATAAAGTTTAAACTCAGCCTGGTGCCTAGGGTCTGTTGAACATAAATTAGAAAACATAGTTGTTCCTGCCTTAAGCCAAAGCGGCTTGCTTTTGTGCTCCATATCAATCGATGACTGTGAGCTATTCCTGGGTGTGGTGGGGTGAGCATAACTTCTTTGGGGAGGTGTTTGAGAGTGGGGTCTCCTCAGCAGAGGGCATTTTTATGCAGATTAATACACCAGTCTGCTTCAGTGGGGCAGCAATAACCTGCAATAGGAGGAAAATTTGAGTTTATAGATGTAGTTTCCAAAAGACTTGGCCTCAATTTGTCATTATTATGATTTCAGCAAGGAAGATGTGTATGCATATGACGATCTAGACATAGGATTATATCCAGCTTCAGGTCTGAAGTCACCCACACTCTTAAAATCGGATTTGGAAGTAGTGGTCCCACCTTTAATACAAAGTGTCAAACCTTACCAAATGCTATGTACCAGGAATATAGAAACCAAGGAAGCAAAGGCTCTAGAAAGAAAGGCATGTGCAATTATTTTACTTTTGATTATGCCATAAGAATTCTTAAATTACTTTTTGCTAATATTGAACAATTAATTTTGGAATAATTTGATTTTTCACAGGTTATCAGAGCACTTAAATCGACCCCATCCACACTTTCTGAAAAACGTGATTGCAAATTAATTTTGACACCAAAGCAAATTCATCAAGTAATCGTTGGTAAGAATTTATAAATACCTACTGTTTTTGTTTAACAGATGTATTCAAGTACAATTAATATTCCATAAAATTTACCAGTTTAAAGTATGCAAGTCAATGAATTTTAGTAAATTTACAGGGTTATGCAGTCATCATCACAACTCAATTTTAAAATGCTGCCGTCACCCTCACAACCATAGCTAGTTACTCCCTATTCCCAGTCCTATCCCCAGACAACCACTGATCAACTTTCTATCTCTAGTTTTGCCTGTTCTAAATATTTTGTATAAAATGAATAATACAATGTGTTCTATTTTATATTGTTTCTTTTACTTAGCTAATGTTTTTAAGTTTCATCCACGTGGTAGTAGGTTATACATTTTTTTTTTAATCCTCACCCGAGGATAGTTTTCCGTTGATTTTTTGAGAGAGTGGGAGAGGGAAAGACAGAAAGAAATAGCGATGTAAGAGAAACTCATCGATTGGTTGCCTCCTGCATGCACCCCAACCAAGGTCTGGGCTGGAGAGGAGTCTGCAACCGAGGTACATGCCCTTGACTAGAATCGAACCCAGGACCCTTCAATCTGCAGGCCAACGCTCTATCCACTGAGCCATACTGGCTAGAGCGTAGGTATACATTTTTTAAAAAATATCTAAATAGTATCTAATTTTGCCCTGGCTAGTTTGGCTCAGTGTTTGGAATGTTGGCCCTCAGACTGAAGGGTCCCGAGTTCTATTCTGGTCAAGGACACATACCTTGGTTGCAGGCTCAATCCCCAGCCCTGGTCAGGGATGTGTGGGAGGCAACCAGTCAATGTGCCTCTCTCACATCTATGTTTCTCTCTGTCTCTGCTCCTCCCTTCCACTCTATCTAAAAATCAATAAAAAATATCCTCAGGTGAGGATTAACAAATAATAAAAAAATTAATAGTATCTCATTTTATCAGAATACCACATTTTATTTATCCATTTACCATTTGATGGACATTGACCTGTTTCCAATTTGAGGCTATTGTGAATAATGCTGCTATAAACATTCACATACAATTATCACCCAAGGATATTTTTTCCATTGATTTTTGGAGAGTGGAAGGGAGGGAAAGAGAGGGGAGGAGAGAGAGAGAGAAAGGAAGAGAGAGCGAGAAAGACTAATGTGATAGAGACACATCTGTTGGTTGTTTCCTTCATGCCCTGACTGGGGCCAGGGATCAATCCTGCAACTCAGGTATGTGCCCTTGATCAGGAATTGAACCCGAAACCCTTGGGTCCACAGGCCAACACTCTGACCACTGAGACACACCGGCTGTTTTCATTTCTGTTGGTTAGATTCCTAGAAGTGGAATTACTGGGTTGTATGGTAAGTTTATGTCTAACTTAAAAAACTGCCAAAAAATTTTCTAAAATGAACTCACCAAATTACAGTCCCAACAATGTGTTTTGACAACATCTCTAGTCATGAGTTAGGAAACAAGTGACACCTCCTTCTTAACCTTGCAGAGATGTTACGCTGTGCCCTTCCCTAGATAATTTTCACCCAGGCTGTTAAAGCATGATTACAGTTAAAGAAATAATGACTATAGTGGTCTGAAGAGGGAATTCCCATTTCCTTCTCTGCAGGCCTAGGGTGGTCCTGAGATGCGGGCAGAGGATGATTAATTGGTATGGATGTACTGTCTCCCTCTAGGGAAAATACAGCACAAAAATCCCAAATACCAACTCTGATATTATCCAGATTAAAGGAGACATCAAAATATGTACAAGATCAGAGGCAAAGCAATGGAATGTGATTAAATATCATTTACTATGCTTCCATTTTGTGCCATGCATGTAGATAGGTACTGGGCATTATAGTCCCATGAGTTTACCTCTTACTATTGGGTGGTAAATGCTGTCTGTTTTCCACATTGGTGACTGACTTGTCAGATGATCAGATCTATACAAATGCAAAAGGAGCAAAGTTAGAGATTACAGTGTCCACTGCCTGTTCTACAACTCCTCCACCAACTTCTCTCCCTTCTTCACCTGCTGTCCTGGGCATTCTAATAATGGCCCTCTGGAGCAGGGCACCTGTCTGACTTTACAAGGTCAGCAACTCTGATGATGGGAATTTTAAATCGGTTGGAGGAAGCATGTATGGGGGAGGCAGTTTATGAAATTGGCAGGACGGTGTAGGGGAGGAAAACTTTTTCTTTTACATTTTTGAGTTCTTTAGCTGGTTTAGTAATTTAATTGACCTAAGACAGATTATTAGGAGAAAAATAAATTTAGTTTCATACATATGGGAGCACCATCCTAAATAATAAGGCTAATATGCAAATAGACCTAACGGTGGAGCAACTGAACAACCGGTTCCTATGACGTGTGTTGACCACCAGGGGGCACGTGCAGAACATGGTGGGCATTGGCCACAGCAGGATGGTGGAGCAGGTGAGTGGGGGCGCCAGATCAAGGTGAGGTGCTAGTCGCTATCATCAGGGCGAGCCTCTGGTGGTTACTGAAAATTCTTTGCTCTGGCACGCCACAGTCCTCCCCGGTGCTCATACCTGCTGCTGGCGCTGGCCCCGCTTGCACCTGCTGCTGGCCCCAATTGCTCAGTGCCATCAGTGGGTGCGAGAGGCGGCTGCTGGCCCCGATATCCCCTCAGGGCTTCTCCACCTCTCCCTGCTCCCTGCCGCCTCTCACACCCGCTGTCGGCAATGGCCCCGCTTGCACCCGCTGCTGGTGCTGGAGCCACTGCTCGCACTCACTGCCAGCGCTGGCCCTGCTCACACCCGCAGCCTGTGCCGCAGCTGCGGCTTGCACCCGCTGCTGGCGCCCAGCACCAGTCCTGATCACTCGGCGCCATCAGCAGGTGTGAGTAGCCGGCCCCTATCGCCCCTGAGGGCTTCTCCACCTCCCCCTGTTCCTGAAGGGCGATCAGGGCAGCAGCTGCTGCTTGCACCTGCTGATGGCTCTGGCCCTGCTAGCACCTGCTGCTGGCGCCAGCCCAAATTGCTCCTCACCATCAGCAGGTGCAAGCGGGGCTGGTGCTGTCAGTGTGTGGGAGCGGCAGCGGGGCTGCCAGCAGACGGGGCCAGGGGCCATAGTGGGAGGGGCTGGGTGGGGGCATGGAGGATGGGCTGAGACCCGCCCCTGTGCCCACCGCAGTCTCACGGTCCACAGTTCCTTTCAAGGTGCACGAATTCATGCATTGGGCCACATATGAAACCCAAGGAAAAGTCAGACAGTTGGGGCTTATATGCTATCATGAGCTGAGGAATGGGTTAGGAGCCTGGAGCTTCAAAGGAGAGAAGGGTAATTCATAGGACCAGAAGAGCAGATGTTTGTCCTGCTACATAGACAGGTCATTCAGATAAAAGTTATCTCTGGTAATAGCTCTTTCTCTGAGCCAAGGCCCTCTGAGTTCTTTAGGTAGTCAAGAGAGGTAAAAGTTTCTCTTGAGTCTGCAGGGTCTTAATTGCCTTCAGCTCAAAATAATCCACATGCTAATGTGACATTTTGGGGTCAATTATTCTGTTTCTCTTCAAGGGTCACTCTCACTTTTATACCTTAAAGGTTGCTTTTCCAGCCTACGCACAGAACAGGGTGTGGTACTCACAGAAGACATTTTAGTTAAAGAAAATTTTGCTCTATAGTTACCATATTTTTAAAAATTGAAATGGCTGTCAAGAGATACAATAGAGGATTTGGAGATTAATTGAGTCAATTAGTTAAAACTATTATAGAAGTCTGGGTTACATTGGAAGTTGCGTGAGGTATTGTTTGTTTCATTAGCATATGTCCAGTCATTTTGGTTTTAAGCTACCATTTATTTATTTTTTAAGCTACCATTTATTGATGCATTATAAGCCAATCATTGTGTTGAATAACTTACAAACAGGATCTTATTAGACCTTTAAATAACATAAATAACTTATGAGGTAAATTATTTTATTTCCATTTTAGAGGTGAGTAAAGCAAAGCCCAGAGGTGAAACAGTTTGATCAAATTGCTCAAATATTGAGGGGAGGGAGAGGATTTGCCACATTTTCTGTCTTGATTTCTCTTCTCATTTTTTTATCCTCTCCCGAGGATATGTTTTATTGATTTTAGAGAGAGAGGAAAGGAGGAAGGGAGGGGAGAGAGAGAGAGAGAGAGAGAGAGAGAGAAACATTGATTGGTTGCCTCCCGTACACGCCCCAACCAGGGATTGAACCTGCAATCTATGTATGAGTCCTGACTGGGAATCAAACCTGCAACCTTTCTCTGTATGGGACAGAGCTCCAAACAGTTGAGCCACCCAGTCAGGCAGGGCTCATTCCTTTTCACAATCCATGTTTTTCTCTACAGTATATTTCTCAGCTTTTTTTTTTTTTTACCAACTTCCTTTTCTCTACCTCGTAGTATGTTAAATCATAATAGAATTTTGCATTTGTTTTCATAAAATATATGTCTGCATTTTTGCTTTGTTTGATTTTTTTTCTGTCTGTTTTGCCATTAGAGTAATATTGGCCTCCTAAACAGAGTTGGGAAAGTTAGGAAGTGTTCTTTCCTCTACTGCATTCTAAAAGAGATTGAGGAGCATTCTTTATATGTTAGACTTCTTCAGAGATACCATCTGAGTAAGATTTCATTTTCAGATGATGTGTAATTACAAATTCAATTTCTTCAATAGTTGTAGGACTATTCAGATAATCTATGCCATTTTAAGAGAGTTTTGGTAGTGTGTGTATTTTTTGTTGTTTTGTTGTAGAATAGATCTCCAACTAAGATTTCATGTTTATATGTATAGAGTTATTTGTAGCATTCACAAATTATCCTTTTAATGTTTGAGTCAGCAGCATCTGTAATGATAGAGAGCCTGTTACCTTCCTACTACTGGAAATGTGTGTCTTCCTTCTTATTTTTCTTTTTCAGTCTTGGTAGTCTAGGTTTATCAATTTTATTGTTCTTTTCAAAGAACCGGCATTTAGTTTCATTGATTTTTCTCTATAAGTTTTCTGTTTTTAATTTCAGTGACTTCTTCTCGATTATTTATCATTTCCTTCTGTTTGATTTGGATTTTTATTTGGGTTGTATTTCTTCTAGTTTCTTGAGGTGGAATCTTAAATTATTGATTTAGACCATTTTTTCCATGATATAGTGATTTAGTGCTATACATGTCTTACTAAGCAGTACTTTAGTTACATCCCACATATTCTTACATATTTTTAATTTCTTTCACTTCGTTATTACCTAATTTCCGTTGAAACATTAACTTTGGCTCATTGGTTATTTAGAAGTGTGTTATTTATATCCAAAGATTTTTCTGTTTTCTTTCTAGTACTATTTTCTAGTTTGATTCTATTTGGTCAGAGTACACACATGTATGGATTCAATTGTTTTAATTTTTGAAGATTTGTTAAGTTTGATCCTGGATGTGGTCTCTCTCATTGAGGTTCATGTGGCTTGAAAATAAGTTGTATCCTGCTGAAGGTTCTTTAAATGTCAATTAGGTTCCTATTAGTTAATGGTATTGTTAGGAAATTAGGTAAAGCTAGGGGGAAAACCATTAGAAAGGTTTATAGAATCACCCAGTATTCACACAGGCCAGGAGTAGTGACTGAAAGTTCCCAACTGGAAAACTGGACAAGACAAACAAACCTTATAATTCATAGGACATTGGGGCAGAGTACTCAGAAGTTCTTGTCTCAGTAGTGGAGAATCATTATTACTATTCAGAGTACTGCTCTGGTCTCAGGTAACTTTCATAAAAGCAAGACCAGGAAGGATCTATCAGTTTCAAAGTAACTTTCAGAACAAAGCTCAAGAATATTTATAGGAGTACAAAACATATCTAGCACATAATGCGGTAAATACTATATTTGACATCCAAACAAAGACTACTAGGCATGAGGCAAAACAACCCCTAATAAGGAGAATAATGCATCAATTAAACCTACCCAATACTGATACATATGTTAGAATTGTCAGACAAGGACATTAAAGGGTTTTTATAATTATCTCCCACATATTAAAATAATTATTTAGAGATATAGAAGAGATGAAAAAATGATCCATATGATCTGTAGGTTCAACCCAATTCCAGTCAAAGCTCCATCAGTATCTATTGTAGAAATTGACAGGTTCATTTTAAAATTCACTTGGAAAAGCAAAAGAATTATAATAGTCAAAACAATTGTGAGGTGAACGTGATAACCACTACACTATGGAAACATGATAATGGTCAAAACAACTGTGAAATAGGAAAACAAATTGGAGATAAAACAGTACCTGGTTTCAAGATTAATTACAAAGCTACAGTAAGGAATACAGTGTGACACTGGCATAATTATAGATACATAGACCAATGAAACATAAGTGAGTGTTCAGAAATAGACCTACACATATTAGACAACTGAATTTTGACAAAGGAACAAAAGCAATGAAGTGCAGAAAGGATAGTCTTTTTATTTTTTTATTGGTTTCCTTTTTTTTAAGGATAGTCTTTTTAATAAGAAGTGCTGGAACATATGAGCCATACACTAAAAAAATAAAAACGAAAAACTAGAGTTTGTATCTATGTCTTACATCATATACCAAAACTAAATAAAAATAGATCATAATCCATGTGCTTCCTTATAGAAGGAAGCATAGGAAAAAATGTCCGTGATCATGGGGAAAGCAAAAATGTCTTAGATATCACACAAAAACACGATCCATGAAAGAAAAAATAGAAAATAGGGATTGATCAACTTTAAATACATCTGCTCTTCAAAAGACACTAATAGGATAAAAACAAACCATAGATTGAAAGAAAATATTTGCAAATTATATATCTGATGAAAGAATTGCAACCAGAATATATATAAAACCTTTGAGACTCAATTTTGAGAAAACAAACAACCCAATTAAAAATGGGCAAAGGGTTTGAATAGATAGTTCATTAATGAAAATCTACAGCTGACAAGTAGGCACATAGAATGATGCACAACATTGTTGGTTGTTAGGGAAACAAAATAAAACCACAGTGAGATAAATCTATTCGAATGGCTTAAGTTTAAAGAAAAAAGCTCACCATTTCAGTTGTTGTTGGAGATGTGAGGGAACTGGACTTTTATATATGGCTAGGTGGGGGATGTGAAATTACCCACTACTTTAAAAACAGTTTGCCAGTTTCTCATAATTTAAACATATGTGTATCATATGATCCATCCATTCCATTTTCAGATATTTATCCAAAAGAAATAAAAGTATATGTTCGAACAAATATTTATGCACAAAGGTTTTAGCCGCTTTGATTGTAATAGCCAATATCTGGAAACAATCCAAGTGTTAATCAATAGGTGAATAAACAAACATACACCTATGATAGACTACTACTTAGTAATATAAAGGGATGGACTATTGACTCATGAAACAGCATGAATGAATCTCCAAGGAATTGCTGAGTGAAAGAAATCAGAGAAAAACTGTACAGCTCTGTATTATTCCACTCATATGAAACTTTAGAAAATGCAAACTAATCTACAGTGATATAAAGAGGATGAGTGGTTGTCTGGGAAAGGAGAATACAGAAGATGGTGGGAGGGGAAGAATATAAAGGGGCACATTTTTAAAAGAAAACTTTTTAAAATGATGTATATTCACTCTCTTTATTGTGATTTTTTCCCAGGAGTAGACAAGTCAACACTTATGAAATTCTACACTTATAAGCATGTATGGTTTACTGTGTATCAGTTATAATTAAATCAATCTGTTAAAAAATAAAGCAGGATAAGACATAGTTATTTAAATTGTTATAATAGAGAGTCCTGGGTTTGATTCCGGTCAAGGTCATGTACCTTGGTTGCAGGCTTCTCCCTGGCCCAGGCCCAGGTCGGGGCACTTGCAGGAGGCAAGCAATCGATGTGTGTCTCTCTCGTGGATGTTTCTCTCTCTCTGTCTCTCCCCCTCCCACTCTCTCCAAAAATCAATGGAAAAATATCCTCGAGTGAGGATTAAAAAAAAATTGTTATGATATAAAACCTTTAGGCATTCAAAGAGAAAACATAAGCAATAATTCCTGGGAAAATTACCAATTTTTGTAAATTCTGGATAAATGAACATAAATGTATTGATGAGAGTGGAAGCAGTGTTGGTGTATGAAAATTCATGTACTAAGATGAGTTATAATGAGTGCTAATAATTTCCCATGTAATCAGAATATAATTATACTGAATATTAACCAGTAATCTCCAAATAGCAAATTATGGACATTTGGATAAAAAACTTGGTTAATAATTTCTGACATTATAATGAATATATTTCTGAGTACCATTTTTTATAAGTTGATCAAAATATACAATGAAAACTTTATAAAAATGAACAGTTGCCAATATTAAACTTAATACCTTTTCTTTTTTTAGGGCCCTCTGTCCTTAATTTTGGTGATATTTGTGTGAACTCCATAAATACTCATCGACTGCATGTTGTTAATATGCTACCTAAGTATATTTTGCTCCATTTAGATGTTAATTTGAAAGAACTTCAGAAAACCAAACAATTTTCATATGTGATTCCACCTTCATCCAGTACTCATATTTCAGTTATATTCCATTCTTCCACTGCTGAAAAATTTTGGAAGTATGATTTATTTTCAAATTTCTATTTGCTAGAATCAAAATGTCCTATTATAGGATATGTTTTTATTTGCCTTAATAATTAATAGTATATATTATATTTGATCCCCAAACATAGAAACTATATATGTATCAATTTGTAGATTTATAGACTCATATTTCAGTTGTAGACTTCTTTCATGATTAGTTTGATGTTTTGTTAAGAATTGAAGATGTTAGTCATCAGTATGTGCATTTTTACATGTAACTTAATTCTATAATTGCAAATAATTATTATCAGTTAAATTCCGATGCCTTTGTTGTGTTACAGGTCTTTCACCTTTAGAGTGAACAATATACCTGGTGGGCACCTCCTAGTGAGGGCAAATATCATGCCAGTAAGACTTGAGCTATCTTCTGATGAGGTAGTGTTAAAACCACATGGCTTCTTGTTGAAAACATGTTTTAGGGAGACAGTTACGTTGCATAATCATCAGAATTATCTTGTTCGCTTTGAATGGATACCAGTAAACACAGAAAGAGGAATGTCATTTTCCATTCGTCCAAGTAAAGGTAATAGTTTATTGTTTGTTCGATTTAGACATTCATTTATTCATGTATTGTATTCAGGCATCAATCATTAATTGCATGTGTACTGTATAATGGTGCTATGAACATAGAAATAAATCTAATATGGTCATTTGGGCATTTATTTTTGCATATATAAAATATACATACACATTTGATTTAAAAATATGAATCCTATATTAGGGTTCTTAGAGAAATGGGAACAATATGAAATATATATATAATACAAACTTAAAGAGAGAGATATATAGATTGAGCAAGGAATTGGCTCATATGATTGTAGAGGCTGCAAGTTTGAAATCCGCAGGGTAAGCCTGCAGGCTAGAGACTCAGGGAAGAATTGATGTTGCAGTCTTGAATCCAAGGAGGACCTCAGTGTTTTCTTATAAGACTTTTAGCTTATTGGATGAGGCCTTCCCACATTGGAAAAGGTATCTGCTTTACTCAAATTATATTGATTTAATGTTAATCACATCTAAAAAATACCTGCTCAGCAACACCTAGACTGATGTTTGTCCAAACAGCTAGTCGCCATAGTCTGGCCAAGTTGACAAATAAAATGAACTGTGACAGATATTGGTAAACTCAATATTTTTTTGTTTAGTTTTAGTTTGATGATGATAAGATATGATTCAGAATGACTTAAATTTTGTTAGATTGTGAATTCTTTTAGAAGGATCCACAAATTCGTTACAGTCAATATTTAATACAGGTAATAAAGTCTAATTAATAAAATTAAGAACTTAAAACTGACATTTAAATAATTATTTTTTATTGATTGATTTTTTTTGAGAGAGAAAAAACATTGCTTTGTTATTCCACTTATTTATGCATTCATTGGTTGTTTCTTATATATGCTCTATGTGCCTTGACTGGGCATTGAACCTGCAACCTTGGAGTATATGGATGCTAGTCTAACCAACTGAGCTACCCCGTCAGGGCTTAAACTTACCATTTTTGATAGCTCGTTGTATTTGTTAACTATCTTTTTAACTTGCTTCTGCCGTTTCCTGGAATTGATAATTCCACATAATGTACTGTTACAAATCTGAGCACTGATCATTACTAACCTATCACTTACGTAGTAGCCTATCACATTTGGCAAACATCATTGTGATGTTTTGTGAATATCTCATGAGGACAAAAACTATCATTTAAAGTAAAAAAAGGCAAGTTAGAAGCAGAATGATGAATATGGTGTCTTCGTTTCATGTACATGCCATGACTTTCCAGTTAGATGGAAGGTTCTGCATTGAGTCACATGGTGCTTTATAACCAACTGAAGTCTAATGCTGCATGAGAAATTTAAAACAAACATTGCAGTCAGATAGACCTGATTTCAAAATTAGTCTTGGCTTTTCACTAGCTTTGTGATCTTGGGAAAAATACTCTATAAGCACTGGTTTCTTTATCTGTAAAGTGAAGAGACTACTATATCTCATAAAGATTAAATATATGAAAAATTCTTCCATAATGACTGGCAAAGAGTATGTGTCAAATAAATAGATAGATACCTGATTAGGACAATTGCTGATTGTTTGGACTCCCCCACCCCCTTGAAGTATCCTCAGAGTAATAACATCTTATGCTTCTTGCAACCCATCCTCAATTCCTTACTCCCGCTTCCTTCCTTCTGTCTTACTTTCCCTACTTTCTTCCATTCCTCTTTCTCCTCCCTCCCTCTTTATCTCTAATTTAGGAATAGTCTTCATTTGTGATCGAAATAGGGTACATGTCAGATCACAGAGGAATTCTAGTTTGTAGAAATCTTGCGTTAGGTGTATATTCTTGTATTAGTTATTTCCAAATCATGACTTTTATATAACTCTACCAGTGTTTGTAACAGGGAGTGTTATGAACAACTTAAGTGTTCAATTTTAGTGCAGATATAGGCTGAGATGTTGACAAACTTAACAAAGAGTAGGACTTTTCCTTCATTCGGGTTGGAGATCATATTTAATCTTTTTACTAACCTGGATTGATTTAGCACAATCCAGGTTATTTATTAAACATTCCAGGTATATTTCCATTATTATTTAGCAGATTCACTTGACCCAGCTCTTTTTTTTTTGGTTATTAATACTGATAATATTGGGTCCTGCTCCAATACAGAGAAAAGCTAAATGAATAATCAGAAGAAAGAGAAACTATTTCTATACATTTCAGAGATTCTAGGTAAATCTCCAATATTTTTTTTAAACAGGTATCTAGTAGTACTAGTTATATAATCTGCATCCTAGCTTATAGGTTTGGCACTTTTTCCTTGTGTTTCTTTATTCTAACTATGGCTGAATGGGCTGGGCTTCACCCCAGTGGCTGCCAGGGAAATGCAGTGATGATGCTGAATTTGTCAAAATAGAGGTGGAATTGCAATATTATAAACTGGAACACCAGTTATACTTCTCATGATCTTTAGTTCTTATTTTTACAGGGGATATTTTAGTATTTACTTTTATTTTCTTTGGGTTGTTTTAGAATTTTTTAATCAAAGCACAAGAACACAATGGACTTTAATTTTAAATACAATGTTTATATGAGTACTCTCATTAGTCCTTAAGTACTTTGGATCTTTTTATTTTTTATTGATTTCAGAGAGAGGAAGGGATAGAGAGAGAGAGAGAGAGAGAGAGAGAGAGAGATTAATGATGACAATGAATCAGAGATTGGCTGCCTCTTGTTCGATTCCTACTGGCGATTGAGCCCGCAACCTGGGCATGTGCCCTGACTGGGAATTGAACTGTGACCTGGTTCATGGGTCAGTGCTCCACCATTGAGCACCGCTGGCCAGACACTTTTGATCTTTTTAGAACACAATTGATACAATACTCAAATCTATTTCAGAGAACATTAAAGAAAGTATGCATAGTTTATATACATAGTTTTTTATATCATTTTTCTTTTGATGTTCAAAATAAATGTCATAATTACTCAATTTTGTTTTTGCTTCTTTGTGTAAATAGAAAATGCATTTTTATCGTTATTTTTCTTATGTTCCTTTTGCTATATTGGTTTTGCATCTCAGCTAATACATTTAATCATATCCCTCGCTATATTTTTATAAACTAAAATAGTCATGAATTAAATGTTATGTTGTGATTGTCCTTTCTTCCTGTGATATATTTTGTATTTTTGTTTGGTTAGTGGATATTGTAAGGGAAAAGTGTAAGGGTGGGTTGATGTTTTTAAAGATGGAATTGGCTTCTATTACGATGTTTCCATTAGGTATTATTCATGTTTCTGCTCGTTTTGTTTTCGTCTTTGTTGTCTTTAATTTTACTGAACCCTTGAGTCTGCTCAGTTTTTAGACTTGACTTGAATCAGTTCACTATCTTTCTCAATTATCTCCCTCCTTGGCCATTTGTAATATCTGCCCTTCCAATCCCATCTTGCTCAGTCTAACCATCCAATTAATGTCCCCTGTTCCCCGTTCAAGTGCCTTTATATATAGCATTGAATCTTCTCTGTCCATGTTACTTCCCATCACAATCTTCTCCACACACCTCTCTCTTCTAGCACTGTCACTTGCCTTTGACACTTCCCTCAGCTTTGTCCTCCTCTAGTCATCCTTGAGTGGTAACTCAAATGCCATCTCTTTTAATAGGGTTTTCTCCACTTTCTAAGGCCAACTTAGACTCCCCTCCCCACCTTTTCAGCTCCCACTGTGTATTTCTTTAATGTTATCTACAATTATTTGTTTCTATACATCTCCTATTGTGGTAGATGTTGCTAAGCCCCTACCTGATATATATTCCCTTTACTAACAGGATCCTCATTTTGTTTGGTGAAGCAGTGTTCTTATCTAAAAATCTCTTTTCCCAAGCTTCTTGCCAATGAGACATGGACAGAATTTTCTTTTATTTCCAACCTTCTTTGTGCCAGACACAAGTACTTCTACATATCTTAGCTTATTTAATCCCCTATAAAAATTCACTGCATTAGATAAGGTTATCCCTATTTTATGTCTGAGGAAACTGTTACGTAGGTTAAGTAAATTGTCCAAGGTCTCGAGTTGAAACTTGAATCAGGGAGTCTGACCCTACAAATTGTGCTGTTTTAACCACTATGCTATCTTTCTACATCGAGGAAGGCCACACAGTAAGGAATGGTAGTGTGGGAAGCTAGAAAGAGCATTGCTCCTTGAAGGCCTTGTCAATCTGTTAAGGCATCCCTGAACTACCTATTTGTGGATGTCTAATTTCATAAGACAAACAAACCCCTATCTTCCTAACCCACTGTAGCAGGACTTTTTTTGTTACTTATAGAGAAGTCTAATCCCAGTGGACTCCCACTAGACTGTTAGCTCTTCCGTGTCCAATTTCTATTCTTTTTATAAATTACTGTATTGGCATTCAAGAGTATTAATAATATCTGACACTGCGTGTTCTCTAGGCATCATGCACTATGTTAATTCCTTTATATGTATTGTTAGTTCCCTTCATAGTCATAGGAGGTAGGCACTATATCTTTTTTAGGATTGAGGAAACTACCATCACATGAGAGTCACCCTCACCCCAAGCAAAGATTGTGGCGATCACTCATCTCTCTCCATTTATTGTCCATTGCCTTTGAATCTCAGGTGATCCTTTCTTCATTAAGAAAGAACTTGTGAGTCATTCTTTCCATTAAGTATTATTTTCTTACTTTAAAGGAGATGATGCATTTAAACAGATAAAGTAGCTCACTCTAAATGTGCCTGATGCCACCTGGGTTCTCAGTACATTTGAATTATAGAAATGTGTTGATTAATCATAGCTATATCAGAAGTTACATTTCTAGGGATGTGAACATTTAAAAAAAGCCTCTGGTGATTCCTTCCTCTAAAAACTGAATAATAGTCTGATGTTAATAAGTATTTCAGAATATTGGGAAACATGGAGGGGATACTTGTTCAGGGATCACAAACGGTTTTTGACTGTGTATGTATAAAGCCATTTCTAGCTCTAGCTGGTTTGGCTGAGTGGATAGAGCGTCAGCCTGCGGACTGAAGGGTACTGGGTTCGATTCCGGTCAAGGGCACCTACCTAGGTTGCAGGCTCCTCCCCTGACCGGGCCCTAGTCAGGGCTCATGCAGGAGGCAACCAATTGATGAATTTCTCTCACATCGATGTTTCTCTCTGTCTTTCCTTCTCTCTTATACTCTCTCTAAAAATCAATGGAAAAAAATCCTTGGGTGAGTCTCACATCGTTTCTCTCTGTCTTTCCTTCTCTCTTATACTCTCTCTAAAAATCAATGGAAAAAAATCCTTGGGTGAGGATCAAAACAAAAACAGAAACAAAATAAATAAAGCCATCTCTAATCCTAGAGTGTTTGTTTCATTGATAAATTTATATTTTTTGGAAATATTGGCATGCTTTTTGTCAAATATTTCATCTGCCTTTTAAAATTGAAAAATAAGATGTATTTTAGATTTTAATCAAACTATAAGTCTATACTAATTTGATAATCGCTCACTTAGTATTTTCTTATATTTTGAGTTTAATTTAAATAATTTGTTATATGATGTTATATTTGTATGCAAGCCCTTATTTTGGATATGGAAATATATATATTTAAAATGTGGAACTGTCTTATTCTTTCTAAATCCTCTGTAGGCATTGTTGAACCATACTCCTCATTGGAATGTGAAGTAACATGGCTGCCGGGTTTCAGTGCTCCAGACAAGGGAGAATTTATTCTTCAAGTTGATGAAGGAAACACGATGACACTAAAATGTGTTGCACATGTAATGATTTCCCTTGAATATGAGTTTTATTTTGAGGGTTCTAAATTGGTTGGCATATGTGTGTGTAGAGTAGTTGGATATGTATACTATGTTAGTAAAACCTGATTTTGTATGCAATACTTAGTTAACTAAATTATGTTATAGTTTTTTTGGAGCCACTTCTCTAGCATAAATTAGGACTTTGCTAAAAATGTGTTGCTATCTAGAATTAATTAGCAATCTAAGACTTTTGTGCTAACAATATTATGGTATTTCCATTGCTCCAGGCTTGAAATAAGCTGTGTCCTACTGCTCTCAATATTTTGTGCTTGACAAATTTACTAATATAAATTTTGCCCACATGTGTATTTTTCCTGACAGGTAAAAGACCAGCTATTTAGTGATGCAGACTTGATATTAATAATAGGTATCACTTATTGAGTAATTACAGTGTCAGGCATGATACTAAGTGCTGTTCATGCATTGTTTAATTTAATCCTTACAACAACTCTATAGGTATATACTAATAACTCAATTGATGGGTGAGGATATGGAAGATTTGATTGGTTAATGAACTAATACAGGTTTACACATGCAGTAAGGGACCTAGTTGGAATTTATATTCAGATCTATCTGCCTCCATAGCATTTGCTATTACCCTCTGATAAAATTTGCTTTCCACTTTCTCCACACTAGGATTGGTTAAGAATTAAACTTTGAGATATCAGAATAATAAATTAGATTCTTTTTTTGGTAAACTTTTAAAGCCCTTAAAGTTAAATGGACTGTGAAATGTTGCTCTTAAGAAAGTAAAGATGGAGCAACATGAAGTGATTAAATAAAATGTTCAAGTGTGTCATTAATTTATGAAAGACTTGACCAATTCCTCTTCTATTAGCTTTGTTTGAAAATTGTTATTCCAATTACCATGACATGTTCTTCAAATAATTTTAAGAATATACTAAAATATCCTAAGATAATAAGAAATAATGTATCATGTATAAAGATAATAAGGTCTGGTATAAAAAGAACTGAATGAGGAATTGGAAAACTTGGGTTCTAGTTGCTTTTGACTATGGTTTGCTTTCTTATAAAATGGGAAAGGTGGGTGATATTAACATTTCAAAAAGTTTTCTCTGATGCATTAGTTCTGTGAAATGATTTGTGTGGGGCAAGGTGAGGGAGTCCTGTGCCAATGTAATTCTGTGAATCACAGTAATCTCCTCCTCATTATCAGATAAGCAAAGTATACATTATCAGCATATTAAGTGCTGTGAGAAGGCATCTAGTAGAACCATGCCTGGATAATTTCATTTGGCACATTATTTCCCATAGTCAGGTGACCCGGAACTCTTTCCTTTTAGATAGCACATGGTAGCACTGTACAGTTGGGTAGATGATCTCTTACATCTCCTTCAGTGATTAATTCACATGATTCTCAGTCATGGATTTACTTCCTCCACAGAGTTATCTTACTCCCCCTGCCTTTTTCATATTAGGAGTACAATTTAAATATTTGTCTATTTTCCTTTCTCTATTTAAAAAATCTTTATTGTTGAAAGTATTACATATGTCCTCTTTTTTCTCCCATTGACCCCTTAGACCAGTGATGGGGAACCTTTTGAGCTCGGCGTGTCAGCATTTCGAAAAACCCTAACTTAACTGGTGCCGTGTCACATATAGAAATTTTTTGATATTTGCAACCATAGTAAAACAAAGACTTATATTTTTGATATTTATTTTATATATTTAAATGCCATTTAACAAAGAAAAATCAACCAAAAAAATGAGTTCTCGTGTCACCTCTGACACGCATGTCATAGGTTCGCTATCACTGCCTTAGACCCCGCCCATGCCCCAGGCCTTCACTGCCCTATTGCCTGTGTCCATGGGTAATGTATATATGCATATAAGTTCTTTGATTGATCTCTTCCTTCCCACCCACCCCCGCCTTCTCTCTGAGATTCCACAGTCTGTTCCATGCTTCCATGCCTCTGGATCTATTTTGTTCAACAGTTTATTTTTTTCATTAGAGTCCACATATGAGTGAGATCATGTGATACCATAAAATCTGATAACACCTCATATTTTAGAAATTTCCATGAAGCTAAAAAAATTTTAAATTATTTGTTGGACATAAAAAAAGGTATTTGCTATTATTCATCTGCATTTTCCCTTTCCTCCTTTCATTATTAGCGTGGTATCACCAAGGTCTTGTTTTTGGAGCCAAGGATACTCTTCAATAATAGTCCTCAAGGTTTAACAACTTGCAAGAAAGTCATTCTTCACAATGTAGGACAAAACCATGCCTATTTCAAGGTGATGTAAAATCTTGGAATCTTACTTAGATCAGATCACATTATAATTTGAATGAATATTTTGCTATGAACACTATGGTATTATTACTTTAGTCTTTATAAATTTGGTAATGCTAATATTTAGATATTTCACATGATACTTTTCTGAGTATATTTTATCTACTTTGTCCTTTTAATTTCCCATAAAATTAATTTCTTCCTTTCTTTCTTAGTCTCTCCTTTTCTTCTCTTACCCTCTTTTTTCTTTCTATCTGTTATTTTGTCATATTAAAAAAAGATAAGTGATTTGAAGAAAATACCATTTAAAAATGTATTTTGTCAATGTCACATTCCATATTACATACTTTTTCTTTTCTTCTCTGTCATCAGGACTCTCAAGGTAGCAACTCAGACCATTCTAAAGATACTGTATTTATAGTTTTTTTCTGATCTAAATTGCCAGGTGGGGGCGTGTTTAAGGTGGTGATAGAATTTTTTGTTTTGTTTTTTTCTTATAACTGAAAAATCTATTAAGATCTCCTAATAGAAGTTAGCATTGGAGATCTTTCATTCAAGCTTTTATTTACACTAAAGGCCCCGTGCACAAAATTCTTACACTGGTAGGGTCCCTAGGCTTGGCTGGTGATCAGGGCCAATCTGTGGGGCGGCCAGCAAGGCAATTGGGGGAGGCCCTGCTGGCACCAGCCTTGGCCAGCCTGGTGCCGCCCACTCACTGGCCCCGCCCCCTCACCACCGCTGCCAGTCGCCTCCCTCTGCAGGGCAACTGGCCGGGCAATCGGGGCTGGGGGTTGGGCCACTGGCACCTGCCTTGGCTGGCCTGGGGCCTGCAGGCTGGGGGAAGCTCCTGCATTGAGCATCTGCCCCCTGGTAGTCAGTGTGCATCATAGCAACTGGTCATTCCACTGGTTCTGCTGTTTGGTTGATTTGCATATTAGGCTTTTATTATATAGGATGTCTTTTACCCCAATAACCAAATGAGGATACCTTTTTTTATTCTGTTGCTTCTGAATTAGATTTGAAGGCTCTTTGTTCCTTCATATCCCCAAATATCTTAACTTCCTATCTCCTTTTAAATATCTAATTTCCCTTTATTATTTTGGTTTAAAGGATGGTAGACAGGGCTAAATTGGTCTCTGTGACAAACCACATCATAAGTTCCTTTTTTGAATGTCAACATAATACCTTAGACATTAGGCTATCAAGGAAATGACAAAGAAGAGGAAGTTACTTTATCATCTTGCTTCCCAACTACCTTTGCTTTCAGTTTTTATGATCAGGGAAAAGGCAAAATTGTCGATGTATCTAGAACTTTAGCATCTTCCCTAAGAGATATAGTTCATCCTTTTAAGTTTTGCAGAGTCTTGAAAACACTTCAGACAATAAACTTCAGCTTCCTATTTGAATTGGAAGGTGCCATTACTGAATGTTCCATTTGCAAATCCTTGTTGAAATTCAAACTATATGTGCATCTAGTGTTTGAAAATCAGTTACACAATCATCTCATGCCCTGTTCCTGGAGGACCTCTCTCTAGATAGTAGTTTGGAAGCTTTCCTGTGAGAGCTTTGGAACAGTAACTTGAAAGGATAATGAAAACAAAACAGAACAAAAACAGTCTCATAGAAACAGAGACCAAAATGATGTTTACCAGAAGGGTGAGGGTAGTTGAAAACGGGAAGGGGAATGTAGTCAGTAATTTTGTAATAAGTTTACACATGACAGATCATTACTAGAATTAATAGGATGATAACATTGTAAGGTCTAAAAGTGCTGAATCACTATATTGTACACATGAAACTAATATAACAAATATAAGCTCATATGCCAACTATACTTAAAAAATTAAAAAGAAAGGATAATTAGCATTTCTGCAAATTTTCATTTACAGGTTTGCAGTAAGAGTCTTATGTCTATCATTAATATTGTTCCATCAGAAGGAATAGTTCCCTTTGGGGGGCTAACTGTTGTCACTATCACCTGTACACCTACCTTGGCAGAAAGATTCGATGTATTAGCAAAGGTATGTTTGTACACATGAGTCCCTGCACCGTATATATGTCTATGTGGATTTATTTGTTTGGTTGTTTAAGATATTTGTAGTGGTAAGTATAATGCTATAAAATGTTACAAACATATTTATTTTTATAAACTTGTTTCGTTTTAATGATTTCTTCAAATGAAAAAGGGGTTTTAATGTTAAGCTATTAAAGAGTTTTTAATGCCCTGACTGGTTTGACTCCGTGGATAGAGCGTTGGCCTGCGGACTGAAGGGTCCCAGGTTCAATTCCGGTCAAGGGCATGTATCTTGGTTGCGGGCATATCCCCAGTAGGGGGTGTGCAGGAGGCAGCTGATCGATGTTTCTCTCTCATCGATGTTTCTAACTCTCTATCCCTCTTCCTTCCTCTCTTTAAAAAAAATCAATAAAATATATTTTTAAAAGAGTTTTTAAAATTTCTATTATATTCTAGCAATGAGTTAACTCTAATGAAGTGCAGATTTTAGCAATCTGAAAGAAAAGCTACCTTGCCTATATCATCTATTATAAAAATGGTTAACAGAATCTGGCAAAAGGATTTGTAGAAAATATTTCTGGTAAAAGTTGGTAATAGAAGCTTGTACTAAATTGAAGTGAACACCTTTCATTAATATGAGGCATTTTCACATGAAATTGGAATTATATCTGGCATCTCTAACTTGTGACAAGCCCTCACTATTCATAGAGTAAAATATTTTATTTCATGGCATTAATTATATATCTTAGAAAAAAATAATCAATTTTGGAATGCTAATTAAAAATAGCTTTAATGACTAAATGAATTACTAGCAAATTTTATATGATGTTAACATCTATATGTTATAGCACACATTAAATGTTTTATGTTCTAACAATTATGTAAATGAAAAGATATTACCTTAATTTTAGGGACTTTTCTGTGTTCATTAAATAAAATAAATAAAACAAGCCAGTCTGTAATAAATTTTACATATTATAAACTCATAGAATAAAATACTCTTAATCTTCAATTTGATGATTAACTGTGTGCATTTATTCACATTGAAAAATAATATGTACACTGTCATCAGATCAAAATGAATGTCTTTAGACGTACTAGTATCACCATTTTATCTTTCAGTTCCCTATAACAATTTAAAAATAATATGTAGCTTAATGTAATAAACACTAATTTGCCTCACCCCAAAATAAATAGCCTAAGAATTATATCTTCTATAGAGAAACTTGTATTAAAAAATGCTTTTTAAAAATAGATTTTTGTTGATTTCATAGAGGAAGGGAAAGGGAGAGATAGAAACATCAATGATGAGATAGAATCATTGATCGGCTGCCTCATGCATGCTCCCCACTGGGGATTGCGCCTACAACCCAGGCATGTGCTTTGACTGAGAATTGAACTGTGACCTCCTAGTTCATAGTTCAATGCTCAATCACTAAGCCACACAAGCCAGGTGAGAGATGTTTTTAAAATAGTTATTGTGGTATATGGTCTGTGATTTAGGCAGAATTTTTACATAGTATTCTGAAAAATATAGAATAATATGGCCACTAAAGTACAAATTTTACTAAAAGATTAATTTCTACTGTATCTTAGAAGAATATGTTGTTTTTACAAAGCCTACCTTTTTTTAATTGACAGTTTTACAGATGCCTCCCATTTTCCCCCTTTTTGCCCCCTCCACCAAACCCCCAGGCCTTCCCAACACTATGTCTATGTCCATGGGTTATGCATATACTAGAGGCCCAGTGCACATAATTCGTTCACGGGTAAGGTCCCTAGGCCTGGCCGGCTATCACGGCTGATGGGGGCCTTCTGGCTGTTGGCTAGGGCCTTCCTTCCTAGGCTGCCAGCTGCCGGCCATGGCCTTCCTTTGTTTTGTGCTGCCCCTGGTGGTCAGCGCACATCATAGCGAGCGATCAAACTCCCGGTCTCCTGGTTGAACTCACTTTGCATATTAGCCTTTTATATATATAGACTAGTGGCCCAGTGCATGAAATTCGTGCACATTGAAAGGGAATTAATTAGAGGATGTAAGCGTGAACTTTGCCAAAATGGAATTTACAGACATCATTTAAAAGAGCATTCAGCTTAATATTAAAAACTCTGGCTACCACGTCAGGTCTGTTTTCATCAAC